TAATGACAATCCCAGCAGAAAACCAGCTTAGGAGTTAAGTTACGTAAAAAATGTACTGTCAATATTAAATTCATATATATTTTAATGATCCAGGACACAATAAAATGCCATTTTTGTGTGCTTCTGCTAGAGCAAATATGGTAATCATGTTTTAAGGCACAGAAAGATGAACGTGCCATTATCAATATATATTTCCAGTAATGCATCACAACACAATTGACTTTATGCAATACAATATAACTCTTCTATTGAAATTGTATCTTTAATTCTATTATGTGAAAAGTGTTAAGTGATTCGCATGAATGATATTCCAGCTTGTTATATTTCACTGACAGTGGCTAAGGTACATTATATCATCCTAGAGTTTTATCAGGGTCGTAGCATTTTTTTCGAAACTTTTGATCAAATTGTGTAAATAAACAATGTTGAACTTAAAATTATAATTTGAATTATATTTGGGAAAGTATGAATAAATTATGCAGTTTTTATTCAGGAAAAAGGTAACAATAAAAAATTGACTTTTTCAGCTAAAGATAGTTTTCATTATATGGGAAATACAGCTGTATAAATTTAAAATAACAAAAATTCATTACCAAAGTATGCATGTTCAGCATTGCCCCCCCTTTCCCCTTTACATTAAAGACAATACACACAATAACAAGCAATAGACGTTTTTTGTTCATTTCGATATCCCCTCATTATGCACAATATCGAACATAAAAAGAGGACAAACAAATGCCATATCTGGGTAGTGGCATCCAAACACCATGTGGGATTTGATAAATGCACTTGGTACTTGGAAGGTATTTCCACATTTAATAATATGCTAAATGTTATGATGATAATTTTTATGATATGGTCTCCAAAGTGAAGGATAGTCATCTTAATACTGAGCTACCTCGGTCTTTCAAAGCAATATGCCCAGTAAACAGAAAATCCGGGGAGTCGTCACCTGCGCATTCGTCAGATGCAAATAGCATGTCATTGCTTACTAACAAGTGTCTACCCATGAGCCTTTCCATTTTTAGCGTGTCGTTTGGGACTCAATTTCCATGCGTGCGCAGGTGACGACCCTCTCGCTTTAATACTGACCAATGATTACATATCATTATGTTTAATTATGAACTCGCAAAGTTGTTCCAGATGTATATAACTAAAGTATAATTTTGTAAAAACACTGAAAACTTCTAGTATATATGTATGTTGGTTACTTATATATATATTATATATAAACTTATATATATATTATATATATAATTATAGGTGCTACAACGTATACTTTTGTACAAATTTTATTAATTTACGATAATCTAGTTTGGTTATCAACATTGAAAAATATTTGTTTATTTGTCTATACTGCATTTTAAATTTTTTTAACATAATAATGCAATATGCAATATTAAGAATTGCAAATGATGATAGATTTCTCCCACCATGCCATTCATTGGATAATCAGATGCATAAATGTGAGCAACTGTGTAAGTCACACTAACAACTGTCCAATCCTCTTGGAACCCATTAATTCTTCATTTGAATTCATTATTAGCATAATAATATTGGGCAATATGTGTACAGTCGTAAGCTTGATGTTACTTCATTATTTTGGCACATTTTATATCACTTAATGGCATGCAACACGGGAAACTTATACCAGCGTTGTTCTGATTCATAAAAGCGACCTTAGAAGTGACAACCCGTAAAGTGGCTTTAGAAACAACAATGTAAAAAGCTGTCTCAGAAACAATAACACATAAAGCAGCATTATAAACAATAGAATCTCCTGATTGTATTGTAAACAATCTTCTGAAGGCCATTTCGAATCTCAAATCTGAAAGTTATGACATTTCCATACTATAGTAATCAAAACCTAGCATTTATAGCATCGTTCATCAACTAAGTAATTTAAGTATTTAATAAAGTAATAATCTTGTACTGTTTCAAATTTTAGATGCACTAAACACAGCTTAAAAACCAATGTTTGCTTGGACACAGCACCGAAAATTAAATAGTCATAGTATAAATTAAAAATGAAGGGATCTAATGACTATACAAGAGACTCAAGTCTGGTGTCCCCTCAGACCAATCTTAATGGAAAATGCACCACATTGAATATTGATTCTGAGATGCGGCCCATTTTTGATCGCTGAGCAATCCGTGCATGCAATGCGTGGAATTAGGTGACTTCGATGCCAGTCTAAGATGGTGAAAACTAAATCACATATAAATCTACGGGAATGCTTGGTGCTAAAGATATAATATAATATTATTCATATTTTTAAATAGCCCTAAAAAATACACCCCTTAATTTAATGTTCAACATTATGCAGGTTACAGGGCCAATGATTATTGTTTAGCCATTTACATGCCTTGATATGCCTAATATAGATTACATAATATGGAATCAAAACTTAATACGCAATTCACTGTAACATGTATAATAATATAGAATCAAATTACAACAAATTTCGCCAAAATTTTGACAAACCCCAGTAACATTTTATTAAACTACAGCTCTTATATAGCCAGTCAAAATATCAGATAGAATTCAATGTTATTAAGATTAATGTAGATAAATACTGTACTAAGATTCCAAATTTAATATATATTATTAAATAATAATACTTAATTACAAATATTCAACATTTCTAATCAATAGTACCATCTTTAATAACAAATTTAGTACTACTCCTTATGTTCAAACTTTTGAGACGTATTGCAATGAGTTTTCCTGATGGTTTCTATTCCATACCAAAAGAATAAATAATCATTTTTAATTAGGTTTTACATATATTATGTTAATTATTGATAGTAAACATTTTTGTATAGTGACTGTATGAAAATATTATATCAAATTTCACCTGAAAATTATGCAAAGATACAAAAAATATGTTTTTCAAAACACTCCATTTTTTTGCTGGTTAAGTTAATAGGTTGACAATAGGGCAAAATAAACTAAACACAACTCAAGTGTGTTTAAATATAGAATTTATTTTTAATGACGAACTCAACTCAAATAAATGGACACACACTAACATGAATAGGGTGAAAACTGTAATACAATATCGGATACCAGATCAAACGATTCATTCAAAGCGCAGGGAACTAAAGAATCAATAAGTGTGTTTAGAGAATTACATCAAGGATACATTTCACTTTAAACATTATTGATGTTTAATTTTTTTTTATTTTTTTTGCGGTTGAACTTTATGACGCTATAGCTGTTTGGGAATACGGTTTTCCAGCTGATAGAGGGAAGGGGGAGGTTCTCATGTTCCATCTGAATAAAATGAAATTGACATTCTATTCTGGAAGTGGGAGTCATCAATTTTGGTCATGGCTTGTCAGCAGTGAAATATTTACATATTTTTGTGGAGAAATCAGACAGTCATAAATCTACAAAAAAAATGAGTGAAAAACAGAATCAGAAAAAAAAAAAGCTGGCAGTTTTTAAGTTGAGTCTGTCATGTTTATGTTTACAGTGTAAACATGCTAGCATGACACAAATGCAGCACAAGAGTACCAGTGGCTGTTAAATACACATCAATGCAACATTCTAGGAATGCTATGAGTATCTCTCAACAATGCTTGTCAAACTATGTAATATTTATTCATTTTTTTTAATAATTAAATTTTAAAAGTTAATTAAAAAAGTGACTATTCATATTGGAATGTCTTTTTTTTTTCTTTCTTTTTTTCAATTTGTGGTAGCTATTAATGGAGTATCGAATTATGCAATATAGCGTTGCCCATGAGCGAATTTCGAATTACTTTCCCCTGGTTAGTCACGTGTTCTAATAGATTAATATGACAGCCCGGTTTACCGTCTCTAGTACACCGCACTCCGAGGTAAAGAAAAAAAAGAGACGATTAAAAACCACCGTGTGACCGATTGGCGTCATTATAACATTTGTCTAGGAGACATGCTCGCAGCTGCTAAATATGTGTGTAATTTTACTATGAACACGGGGAAAAAACTATTTAAATTCCAGCGTCTGTGCCTGTGTATGGGTGACGTGCATCTGTATCGGTGGCGACAGATACGCACTGCACTGTCGACAAGGCGTCAACCGCCGCGAATAACGACGCGTGCCAAGCTCGTCGCCGATGTTCTGGTGAACGACTGGAGAACGACGGATGGATTTTTTTTAAGATGTCAGTTTAAACTACTTGTATTTCCAATATCGGCAAATTGTCAAGCAATTATACATGGAATATATGAGACATGTTTCGGGAAACACTGTGTATAGACTGCGCACGACAGAAGTAGGCGTGACCGACTTTGACGTGCATCATCGCCGCCACAGGAAAAATATTCGCTGGGTTTCGTGTTTTTATTAGCATAAACAAATACGTATAATTATTATGATTGTCTTTACAGCACGAGTGTCACGTAGCTATGCGTCTCTTCGTCGACCGCGGAAAACGAAACTCGTAGTAGCGCGTTCAAATGTTCACCACGTGCAATCAGCTGTTCGAGTCTCCCCAATAATTGTTTTGGAACTAATATGTTCGATGCACACATATATTATAAAGGGGAATTGAAATCGGTTAGGTGATCGCATGTGACATATCTATTAGACTAGTTTTGACTTTGGACAGACAGAAGTAATAATATACTATAATCCAGTCAAAACAAGCATACACCATGGGGATCATCCATGCTAGGTTCGTAAATTTAATCAGAGAGGACGTACGTGAGAAGTGTTCCTGATACATCAACAAATAATACTGTATTCCCCTAATTAGTGAGCATAAACAATGTATTGTTTTGTCTGGATATTTATAAAGTACGGTAATATTGACAGTAACTGTCCGGTCGCTTGTGTTGTTGTGTGTAATTTTAGTGGTGAAGAATCATTCAACGGGTGAACTATTTTTAGGACTCAACGCGCGGTTAATACGGTCCTGAGGTTTCGCTGAAAAAACGCATAGCGCCCTTTTTCATGCAAAACTTCATCCATCCTGACAATGACAACACTGAATATTATAAACCTACTTACGGGTTCCATCGAAACGAGTGGCTATGGTATCCAAAAAAGTATTCTGCGGTGCTAACAGTCCCTTCCTTGCTGGCATTTTTGTATCGGTGATAGTTTAAATGGGTACCGTCACAGCGAGCAACGCGAACCGTCTACATAGTGGCCAACCTGTTTGCCCGTGGAGTGGCTGAATCGTAACGAGTCGATGGCTCAGAGCCGAGCATTCTCAACGCGATCATTTTCCGATTCAAGTTCAATGGATGAAATCGCGTTCAGAGGTCCAACCACAGAGAGACTACACGTGCATTCCGGCAAATATCGGCGATTCTAATAGTCAGAAATCCAAACAACAAGATCAAACAGCGAGGCAACAGCGCTCTGAGGCTTGATAATTCTCGGCGCGTGTGTGAAACTGGTGTTTTCACTGCTCTATTGCATATTGCCGCACATCACAGCGTATGCGAGGATCGTTTCATTTTTTAATAGGGGTGAGATAATATTATGACGAAACAATAGCATTAGAGTACGATTCATTCCGCCAGGAATTCATCTCTTTCAAAAGTAAAACTACTGAACTGTAACGTCAATTCTCAATAATACCGGTGAGCTTAAATTGCTGCCTCTAAATTTCTTCATTCACTGGAGTAACACCGTTTTTCGTCACATGTCATTATCCCACCCCTCAAAATCAAAATGGTATCAACAAGGCTTCCCTTTCAAAATACCTGCTTATGTGATGGGACCCTCTAACTCTTTCGTTATTTGATCTTTGCGTCCATCTTCAATTCAACAACAGACCGACACCTCTTTTAATTTCTAAGCGCTTTGTCACTGTTAGATTGTTTCGTCCTACCGAGTTTTAAGTACCAACAATCGGTGCTCGTTAAGTGATAATAGGCTGAATTAGTCATATTTGTTTGATTATCAGTGATCAAAGCGTTGGCGGAAGGGGTGAGGGAGGCCCATACAGACAAGCTTTTTTTTCACAGGCTGAAAAAACGAACTATTATCAGTAAAAAGACAACGGCGGCGTTCATCTGAACCCACTCATTGTAAATAGCGCGTATGTGTTAGTGAAGTAAAAATGTGCTTTAAATGACAAACAAAACTTTAAATTTAAAATAAATTCATGATAACATTTTCTTCACCACCTTTTCCCAGTCGTTTCTTGCTGAAAATAATAATCTCAAATTACTTGGCTATTATTGATGGAAAAAATGGGGTCCAGGAGTGATGAAACGACAATAATTTGTTTGTTAATAGTTCGTTGTTGATCCCCGGGTGATCCATAGTAAATGTTTACGTTGCAAATAAAGCACCGTTTAATCACAACTGTATATGGGACCTGACTTCAAACACTGCAATTCATTTGTGCGATAGTTTGGCGACAGCCGGTCAACAGAATAGTCCTGTCTCTCCTTTTAAGAAAAAAAAAACAGAATATCGTGTTTTATGGCAGTAATGATCATTGTTTTCTATTTGAAACTGTGCACACGAAACGAAGACGTTATGGTCCACTGCGTGAATTGAATTCGAAGAGAAAGATAACCAATTCGTTACTATATTAGCAATTTAATTCTCTCAGGTGTGTTACGTCTCGATTCACAAAATGACTTGTAACTTGGATTAAAACTGCCCCGATTTTGAAAATGTCATGTGACGTTTTTTTACAATCAGGTCTACTCAAGAATGATTTATATCAAATCATCATAATACTATACTTTCTATAAAAAACTGCAAATGAACAAATATCCATCGAATATACACGTGCTCGGCAAAATGTGACGCTATGACTTGGCGTTCTTATAGTAACAGACTGCGAGTAAAGTAGCCTATTGTGGTGCCGATGGGATGGCGTCCGTCACTGAACGATGGTTAAAAAAGAGCTAATATAGTTAGTGAAGGGGAGTACATTTTTTGTAAACTTTTGTTAAAAGGGATCATTTTTCGCTGTCTGAAATGTGGACGGGGTCTGATTTACAGACGACACGTGGCCTCTATCATCTTTCCAGAGCAGTACACTTCCGGGCTACACGTTTTGAAAAGCAGGATGTAAGTTAGTTTATTCATGTTCACCATTTGGGCAAGTCAGTCAAAATAAAATCGCGTGAAAAACTATTTTTTCCTATAAATTGTAGTTTATGAAGATTGTAGAGTACAGAAAATAATGCATTGCCAGTGAGTCCAACTACAACTGCAAAATACGGCGAGCACACCCGACCAGAATGATGGGTATAGGTGGTGGTGAATTGTACAAGCAGACTTCGAGTTCTTTATTAAAACCTACGTTTCGACAATTATACTAGCTTTCTCTGCTTTCTTTGCATTGTTGACATTTGACAAAAATGAGCATCGATCGAACTGCCTTCACCATTCCCCATCATAATGCACACTTTGCAATTTTAATGATTCAGAATTTTAAAAATTTTGGAGGAAATGAAATACTCCACAGCCTGAGTGCGATTCGCAAAATCCCTTCTCCATTTGCCGTTGCATTCTATACGTATGCAAGATAATCGAACCAATGAATACGGATTGACATACAACTTTTCCCGAGGCTGCGGTTCTAACATTTTGAAGTGGGCTTATACACTCGAGTCAAGAGTCGAGTTGTTTTATTTGTTCGCCGGGACATCGGTGCTAGAAGCTTGTGAAATATGTATTGATGACATTCAACTTCCTTTCAATAACCCAAGTTTAATACTGAATGGTGAAACTGTATAGACCCTTATTCTGTTTTCATGACTCAAAAAATAACGGCACGCCTCTTGTGTGGGGTTTCAACAGAAATACTCCGCCCCGTTGACCCGCAATTCGCTCCAACTGCCTGTCTTTATGAAAAACGCTATAAATAATCGTCGTACTAACAAAGGGTCATTGTTGTCGACAATTCTCAAGTGATGGGTATGTCTTCTGGACCACGAATGACCGAACGTATAATTTACAACCACCATCCATTTATTTACTATCTGTGTTGACTTCTACAATGCGCATGATAGCAACGTCAAAGGCACAGTGAAGGATAAAACCATCAAAATACCTGAAAAGTAGTACCCTTGACATTTACGAGGCATGTATTGTTGTTTACGAATTAAAAAACAACAACATGTGATATCGAACTAATTTTCCTGCGCGAAGTAGGTCAAGCAATTACTATTCATAAAAAAAACGTCGATTTGTGAGTAGTGCACAATTGGGTGTTATGTTCAAAATGTCTCTTATAATATGAAATAATAATATAATAATTTCTTATTTATTTTATACCGAATAATTTGGTTATTTACTAGTATGTGTTTTAAAGCTATACTAACGATACGGTATATGATTAATAAATACAACTTTTGTACGGTGCTTTTTGGTTTGGGTGCATTGTTGAGAAATGTATTACTATTTACATAGAATTAAATAAAGTATTAATATAGATTAATATCGACATAGCTTCAAAATTAATTGTTCAAAAGTGGCCATGGAAAATTTAAAACAAATGGTACGATAGATGTGTGGGTCTAATTTGTCACGTGGTATTCTCCCGAATTACCATAACGGTAAGGAGACAACTAATTCCATCCCCACCCCCACCCCCCCCCCCAAAAAAAATTACTAGTGGAATTAACATTACAAGATGATTACATTTACATAAACAATGTTCCGTGATTCTAATTACAATTCCGAAATTCGAAACTTCAAGTTGCCGCAAACCAAGCCGTCCCATTCTAAACGCCCGTGCATTAGTGATTGTTTAGGCTTCGGTGCACAGTAAAACACATTCAATGTATGTAGTGCCGGGTCCGAGGTGTAACGTTACACAAACATGTGATTATTTGAAAATACAAAACATTTGTATTTATTGTCCAGAAGCCTGTGTTGTGAATACTTCAACGATTGAATGCAATCAAACACTTAGTAAAGGCGCCCGATTGTATTGAACAATACCTAACTCTTATATCGGACTCTCCAGAACGCCAGCGGCAAATATGGTGTGAACGTCGAATTGACCCCGTATATGTGCTTTGTCACGATGTATGGCTCGCATGTGATTCCTTGTTAAACTCATGCTTTCACTGAATTGCAAGCCTTGTATTAAAAAAAGTGTTTAAGCCTAGTACAAGGCGACCACAATATCAAAGTTGTCTGTCTCTCGTGTTGTTATTGTTTGTATTGTTTTCTTCAAGAGGCGTGTGGATAAATTGTACATTTATTAGGCATTTCAGCGTAGACCCTCTGTACATTTGACATTTCGAACGTCGTTACCTTCTCAGAGGCGGCAGCACAAAATTTCGCATGAGGGGCGAGATCCGAAATCTAGACCATCTGAAACGCTATTTCCTGCAATTTGAGGGTCAAGGTTTGTTGACACAAAGGGTTTCAGCTTGATTTTTTTGGGTGAAGTTTGAAGTTGTTTTTCTCGGGATTTAGCTCGCTAAACCGTACGTAACTCTGGTGACAACTATTTTCTTGAGGTCGAATGAGGACAAAACTGTGGGCAGTATTCACCTGAAATACACGACGACAAATAGTTTGCTTTACGAGAGTATCCAACAAGTTCTCGGGAATACCTTCTCCAGTGACGTCATATTGTCCTCGTCGGTTCTACCTGAAGAAAATGGCTGCCACCGGAGTTACGTATGGCTCGGATTACTAAATCCCGGGAAAAGTACATCAAACTAATGGTTTTTGTCATGATTTTGGTTTGGGTGAGAATTTAATAAGTATATTATCGATTGGCGTTAGCTTCGACGGTAGTTGCGAGAAAATATTCTGCTTTTATCGAGTTCAAGTTGTATTTGCGACTGACTCGGATGCCATTTAACATAAGTCTATGGGAGGTACCATAGCTCTTATGTGTCGATAAAAATGCTAATATCAGAAAGTAACAAATTAAATGAAATAAAATACACCAGAAAAGACTAAAATACGATCACAATCACTGATACATAAGAAGAGCTATGGAATGAGAGTACCCCCCCCCCCCGTGTATCATCAAGTCCCTCCACATACTGTGGGGTATGTTATTATAATGACCCAGTCGGTGCGTCGCATCGTGTTCGATATCATCGGTTCCATGTGACGCATACAGCGCTTACACAATATAAAGCTTAAAAAAGAAAAAAAATATATATTATACATTATACGTCTCTAAAAAAAACTCTATTGGACTGAAGCTTAAAAAACATTTTGTATAAAAAAATATATGTATTTTATACAACATACAACGATCTGTGATTTTTTTATTTAATAACCATGCTAAACATTTGGAATATATTCAATTACAATGAAATAGTAAAATAAGCCCGAGTTTTATTGAAAGGTTAAAAAGAAACATTTTGTAGCAAATTTCTAAAAAAAATATATTATAGATATAAGAATACTTGTTTCTGTAATTTTATTCA